TTAGACTCCTTTCTCCCCAGTAGAATAGTTTTCGCAGGTCTGCATTCTGAGCAACACACCGAATTCCTCAGCAAGGGAGTTCATCATGTTATCTTTGTTCTCATACAGGCTCACATAACTTCATAAATACTTTGCGACAAATGGGCATTTGTTTGTGCAATTTAATGCAGAGCAGACAGGACACTAATTTTTTTGTAGAAGATTCCTTATGAAACTTAATAAAAATTAGGTCAATTCCTTCAATTTCACAACTATTGGAAAGTACAAAGTACTTCAATTTCTTAGCTGTTAAATTTTCAAAGCATTTTGTGACATTTAAGTGGTGGAGCACACATTAAGGTCAGCTTGAGTCATGTGGATAGAGTACCCTTGGACAGTGTTAAAGCTGCATAGGGGCTTTTCTTGCTGTTCATGCTTCCTAGGATTGTCTGATTAGCTGATTCATTTTCTGGGATTCTAGTATACAGACAGTGAAAAAACCCCACCATGTGGGCAGCAAGACCAGTGGAATTTGGTTCTGTGCATTTTTGTGCAGTGGTATTTGCAGCTGGGCATGGCACTGAGGCTGTCATTTTAGCTGGTATTTGTATGGTTGTTTGACAGCACTACATCTCCTTTTTATAGCCAGTATTAATAGGTAATTCCATAGTTGGCTATGGGAAAATTAAAGGTGGCTGTCAGTTTTTATGTGTCCTGTCAGTTTGCTTGTATTTTAATTTCTATTTTAAATATGGACAGGTACAACAAATATCCCACACAAATTTAAATATTTTTCCTCAGATCCATTTTTTAAAAGAGGTTATTAAAGGTAAACATTGAGTTGCTTTCCAAGCAAATACCATCCTGTTTGGAAAAATTACCATGCCTTAAACATCTTAGAATTAAAATATTTTAAGTATTTTTAAAATAAATTTATGTTTTTTTTAACGCAAAGTTGGAACAAATTCCTGATAGAGAAGATGGAATATGTTCAAAGGTTTAAGACCTGTCATAATTGCTTACACTTCCAGACTAATGGAAGCCTGTACACATAGATATAACTTTCCCTGAATCATAACAGAATTGTAACACACAGAATGTGTGTTATGTTTATATCTTTAATAACTCACAGAACTGCAGAACAGCTTGGTTTGAAATGGACAAACAGAGATCATCTAGTCCAGCTCCCCCTGGCATGATCAGGGATATCCTCAGCTAAATCAAGTTACACAGTGAAGGACAATGAAGTTGATGTCACTTAAATTCAAGGAATTTGTGAATGACTTTTCAGCTGAGGAATGGGCAAAGGTTTGAGGTGCCAACATGCCTGTGGTTGGGGAGTGATCATATTGGGGTCTGAGGCAAACAGCCTTCCTGAGGAGGATAAGTCAGCAGAGTAGAAGCAATGAAAGAGAAATGGAAAAGTAGGAAGACATTTCAACAGCTGCCCAATGATGCTGCAAGGAGAGGAGCCAAAGCTGTTTTGCATAAATTACAGAAATGCAATAGATGTGGAGGAACCACAATATTGACTAAACATTAGAAGATGTAAAATTGGCTAAACAGACCTGTGGTTTGAACCACCATGACCACCCTTACTCTCTGGACAGTCTATGGCTGCTTTTCCAAGTCAAAGCCAGTCTAGGATATAAGTGAGCTGAAATGTTATTTTTACAACTTTGTTCCAAGTGTGAAATACACATCCAAACCCATAAACCCTGCATAAGGGAGCTGAACAGCTCTGCTAACCACAAGGATTATACAGAGACTGTGACCTGCTGTGGCTGAGCTCTGATGCACCGTCACAATGTCAGAAAGTAAATATTAATATATGCCTGATCTTTGATGCAACAGGAGTCACAAGATAAACTTCTGTCACCCGTGGTCTTGGCTTGCCATTAATCTCTGCAGGAGGCAGCAATGGAAAACATTAATAAGAAAAAAATGGAAATTATACACTGCTAAAAACCCCCCAAAACAACCCGGCAAAAGAGAAACCCTTCAGCTTTAGATTGGAAGCAAGGGGAGCTCTGCCAGGTGTGGCAGTGCAGAGAAGCCCTCAGGTGCTGCCCACAGCTGCAGCTGTGCCTCTGCCCTGAGTGAGTGTGTGTGTTTACCCTGTCTGGGAGCAGGACTCTCCACATGCACTTCTGCACTCCTGCTGATGCCAGGTGAAGCTCCTCTGCCAGACAGCCCTGGCTCTGGATATCCAAGAGAGCCATCAACCCTTCATTCTGACAGGCGTTAGCAAGAATTAATACAGGTGATAATTAGTCCCTCGATTTGGTTTATTTTCTCTATCTAAAGAAAAGAGAGCTTTCCTGCTACAGGAATGAGAGGAATGTGTGTCTGCCATAGGCAGGCTGGATTGGAATAGCTTCCCATACTGCCAAATAGAAATCCAGAGCTGTTCTAGTGAGATTTTTGGAGGCTTCCTGTGGAAAATAGTCATAGGAGGAAGGCAAATAAGTGGTGACAGGTGGGGCCAGGTCCCTTTGTCTGACTGTTACCAAGTGGTGAGCAGAACGCCTAGGAATGTGTGAAATTTCCTACCTGAAAGGAGCCTTATCAAGCTAGGAGAGCAGACTCCTTGTGGGGTCACACTTCTCCCCAGAAAGCAATCCTGTTTTCTGCAGGACCCTGGACAGCTAACACTTGGGAGCAGCCTCGCTGACAGTGAATACAGAAAGTGGGAAGCTTTGGTGATCTCACTTGAACCAACATAGAATTGTGTTTGGACTTTGTCCCACACTCCGTTTAGCATTTCCACTTGACATTAGCTAGTGGCCCCCTACCAGGAGTGAGAGCAGGGAAGGAACAGCTAATTCTAGATCCTTCCAGAATACACACAGCTTTCCAAGCATGGCCTGGAAACCAGAGGCACACTGATGTAATAACAAGGTCACTGCAGAGGAGCAGCAGCAAAGGCACACTTCCATCTGTCTAAATCTTTGAGTGTGTTTGAACATAATGGTGTACTGAGGCTAAAGCACTGGAAATGTGGGATGACGTGCTTAAATGCACAACCTCTCTTTGCCCTTGTGAAGATTATGAGCCATACCTAAAAGAGCATTGCCACAGGATTGGGTAAATTGACTTTTATTGAAACATACTGTAATATGAAGGGGGGAGCTGGGGGGAAGATTCCAATTTAACACAAATACATTGCATTTCAGGCTCCCAAATAACTATTGATATCTGCTGTCCTGGAGCAAATCATATCTTCCCTGACAAGTCAGACAGCTGCTCCTTCTCTATCTTCCCTTTGTTATCTTTAATAGCCATGGATTGTTGTGGTACCTTGAAAAAAATGTTTGCAACTTACTTGATGGATGTCTCACCTCCTGCTATTAGCCCTGGTTCATGGGTTCATCTAATGCCTGTTCTTGCCTACAAAAGTCAGATCAAGTGCTTTTGAAATGAGTGTGCTGAGTGTCACTGCACAGTGCACACCGTGTACAGCTCCTTCCCCTCCAGCTATGTGCTGAGTGTCACTGCACAGTGCACACCTTCCCCTCCAGCTGGCAGCTGGTGGAGTGAACAAGCTCTCCTCACCACCCTGAAATAAGTTAGGTAGAAACAACCTCCAGAGCTCATCTCCAGATCCAGGTTCCTGCTCAGAACAGGGCCAACTTTAAAGCCCTATAAGACTGTTCAAGGTCATCCCTAGACAAGGCCTGACTATGCCCAGGGAAGGAGATCCCACAGCTTCTTGGGGCAAATGTTTCTATGTTTGATCACAGTCACTGCAAATAATTTTTTCCATTTAGAGGTAGGGGAATATTTTTACCTTAAATACAGGATCGCTAAGAGTTGTAAGATACATCTAAAAAAAAATCTGAGCAATTTCACATAGGCTTTGAATTGAAAAGACAAAGCAAATCTCCTTCACGCTATCAACTGTCCTCAGGTGTGTCAAAGGAAATAAAGAAAAATGTGGTGGAAATGGCTGGAGGTGGTGATATTACCACAGGTTCCTCACTTGTCTCTGGCAATCTTTGCTTCCCCCAAATGTCAGTCAACACCATGGACTATGGAAGTTCTCACCACATTGCTTCAGCTGAGCCCAGAAATGTGCTCAGCCTAAAAAACCTTCAACAGCAAACCAAAGTGTGTGTATGGGTTAAGCAAAGTTACTTGTCCTTGTGATGCAAAGGAGGAGTGTTTGTATTGTCCATTCAGCAGCACAGCTGTAGAAGCACAGCCTTCTGCACAGAGGAACTAAAGAGGTGGCCAAGTCAACAACTTGAACAGCCACGATCCCCTCTGCAGTGTGCCAGTGGCAATTCCCTGCTCACTCTGACACCAAGGGAAGCAAAAGCACCTGGATATCCACACCTGTTTGACCAACCTGACAGGTCTCTGTTCCAAATCACCAAAGGGAATCCAATAACAATAGCCAACCGCTATTGTGCATTTTGGAATGACCTTTAAGCTACAGAATTTAATAATCTACTTCTAGGAAACATCCTCAAATTGATTCCTCCTATCAAGGAAGTCATAAGTCACCCAGTATTAGCTATCCATGTGCTTCTTTCTGTGCCTCTATTTCCCTGATTAATCTGTAGCTGAGCACTAATACCAGCTGCACATCCCTAGTGAGGTTTTACATTCCCAAATGGGAAACACAAAGTCCTGGACCAGACTCTAGCACAGGCATATTTTTAGAAGGAAGGGCGAGTCTGATACATTTAGTACTGAGTTTTGGCAAATACAGTAATAAACAGTATCCTCTCTATATTTCCCAGTGTTGCACACACAAGCTGTGCTGATGGAGCATTCAGCATCGAGACTGGCCCTTCTAGCACTGAAATGGGAGAAGGGATTTGTGCTCTAATGTGTATTGTGTGCTCCTCCCAGCTCTCTTGTATACTCCTTGTATAGATAAGACCAAAAGAAAGATATATTTTCTTCCATCTCACATTTGTAGCTATCAGTTGAAAAAAAAACCACCCCAGAAATTTACAGAAATTTAGCTTTTCTATCATGAAATTAACAGCCATGCTTTGTGATTGGAACAGGTCCTCAGTGGTACCCATCCCGTGTTGGCCTGCAACTAGAACGCAGTGAGTATTCATATGGCTGAATACAGCCACCTAATGTATTGCTAATTACTAATCCACCTAATGTATTACTAATTACTAATCCACCTAATGTGTTACTAATCCTCTGGCAGATTCTCCTCCTCACAGCATTGCTCTCTCTATACGTGTTATTGGGTGAACTGTCAGTACATTCTCATCACCTGACATCAATTTTTACCGTACTAGTTTTTCTCATTAGTAAAGGAACCTAATGGCTTTCATAACCACTGAGTGAAATGTTCCAGAATACAGTGCATGATCACACTATGAAGAAAAGGCAGTTTTAAGCCCCTTCACTCCTTCCTTCCCTCACTGCATTTCCTGTTTTAATATTTGCTCACCGCCTCACCAGAAGATGCAGCCTCTGTGTCAGTCCACAAGTTCTTGGTGGACAGGGCAGTGGAAGATAAAGCTGCCAGAGGTTCTTTGGTGTTTGGTCTGTGGATGTGTAGAATTGCAAAGCCATAGAAAGTGAGGCTGATAGGTGCTAAATTCCATCAACACATGATAGAATCTAGCACCCTCACTGATGTAAACAGTCAACAAACGTATATTGAAAGGGAGACCATACATAAGGAAAAGAGCAAAGAAGTGTTGCAGCCATGGCAACATCCTGTGCCAATGGCTGTTGGATTTTTCCAATAGCCAGCTCACTGTCTATATTAAAAAAAAAGAAAAAAAGAAAACCAAATATTGTTATTTCATGTGTCTGCCTGCACACTCCAGATCCATTAGGACTGAAGCAGATGCCTCAGAATATGCAAACAGTAAGGTAATGCTCAGATACACATGGTCTACCTAGGTCAGACAGCTAGCAAAGAAATCTTGGACCGTGAGCCTTTGCCCAAGAAGTTGCATTCATCATCAGGCACAGCCTGAGAATGCAAATGCTTCAGCAAAATATGTCAGTGAGGGAGAGGCTGTGTAACACAGACTTTGCCATTAGTCCAGCTAGCCAGAACAAGAGGTGCTCTGTGGAGCTGTCTGTGTGATGGCATGGCCTGTCTCTGATGGGGCACATTAACAGAACCAGCAGAGTACAACTGTCACACATTGCTGCCCTCTGTCACAGCAGCTCATACTTTTGTTAAAATGGGAAAGGAATAACTTTCATGGAAGAGCTCTGGGTTGCTAACCTGGAGAATAAGTACCAAGTCACCAAAGTAAATCAGAATCCAAGCTGTACCTACATCTGGAGCACCAGCAGGGCAGCCTCAGCAGTGTGCTCAGCCCCCAAGAGGGTCCTGCTGCTCATGCCATCACCTCTCCCACTTTCGTCATTGCAGACGGGCCCTTTCTGAAGGATTCCACCAGCATCCAAAGCCTTGCTGTTTCCTCCATCATTACACTGTATTTTACAGACCTGGGTCAGCAGGTTGGTTGGACCACAGTAAGTATGTCCTTGTAACAGTCAGCATGATACATCTTAATGGGCCATATGTTTTGGCATCAAATTACTTCAACTTCCTCAGCCTGTGCTTCCTTATGTAAAATGGTGTAATTAGATTATCAGCACTCAAAACAGAATTAAATGGAGACTGAGCCAAGTTATCAATATGCTAACTCTGACTTCCAATTAAAGATTAGAAGGGGAACATAAAAATATTGCCTGAGGAAAAAACCCAATTTTAAAAAACAGTTATAGCTTATCTTGGGCTCATATGCCTGTGCAGAACTGTAGCCAAATACATTAATTTTCTGAAAGACTCCTCAGCTTTGAAAGTGGAAGGATATTATAAAGAAAAAAATGGATCTCCAGTAATCCTGTTACTAATGCAGGAAAATAATTAGATGGAAATACCTTACTCTTTGTTCAAGCAGAGGCCAAGGATTCTAGGCAGAAGATGTCCAGCCAGGCTCAAGAGTAAAAACTTTTGAATCTCCTTGTAAAACAAAAGCATTTTCCATGACAATAGTACCTGTCTTATGTATGTACGTAGACCTGGTTTGACTTTAGTTATTTTCCTATAAGCAGCTGCTGGAAGGTCAGGGTGCTGAGAGAGGGGCAGCACATTCCACCCAAATGGGATATAGGGAACTCTAACCCTACAGGCTCCTTTGGGAAAGTGAGAAGTGAATAAATCCTTTCACAGCCCAAAGACAGAAGACGGGTTTGAAAGGACAGTGAAGGAATGGGAGAAGAAGGGACCTTTCCAATTTCCTGCAGCAGGAACTTGTGGAGGAGCTGAGAGGAGTGTCACAATCACTCTGACCAAGTTTTTGCTGCAGTTTGCATGTAGAGCACTAGCTGAAGTAACACACAGCCCACATCTGTACACTGGGCAATGAGATTCCCAATTTCTGCAGTGAGAAACACAGGTAAGGCAGACCTACAGTTCCTGAAAGCCATAAAAGCTATGATAAAACTACTTATGGCAATGGAAAGCAAACCTCTGATTGCTTGCAATTCCTTCAATGAAACAAGTCAGTTTTTTGCTAACTGGCATCATGGCTGTTGGCCAAATTATTAAGCAGCCCACAGATCCCACCCTGTTGACATGGGGGGACTACAAGCCACTGTCCTTCCTTGGCTGTGCCTACAAGGATGGAGCTTTTGAATGTCAGGTGTTTGAACAGCTTGCAGGTGATAGTCCCAGTTCCTCTCTCCAACAGGTCACTACAGGCTAGGAAGCATTCCTACAAGACACTTGGAATGGACATGCTACTTTACAGTTCCTTATCTGTTGAAACATACACTCAAGGGGAAGGTTAGTGCCACAACAGTAACCCTTGACCTGGGAAAAGTCAGCCTCTGGATCAGCTCTATAAGGTCACATATCCATCCCAGCTGCACAAGATCACATGCACTTCTCCCTCTCCTGAGCAGCACAAATTCTGGCAGCTTTTAGTCCCTGTGAGGAAGAACATGACCCGTGTCCATCCTTCCCAGCTCTGAAAGGATCCAAATCCCCAGGGGGTCACCAGCAGTTTACTTCAGTGGAGTTAGAGCATTTCCCACTATGTGACCTACCTGTTTTGAGTAGAGGTCTGTGAGTTTACTGAGGCTTTACCCCCTCTTGATTAATGGCCTACTGGGACCAGACTAATTAATGCTAGTCCCGATTCCTTCACGAATCCATTCCACCACCTCTCAACCATGGAATTTCCTTGCAAAGCAAAATTGTGATTACTGCAGCTTCCTGTTTGCTACAATTAAGTAATCTGCAAGAACCTTATTTATTCTCTCTTTTCCTGGTGGTTTATGTAGCCTAAGACAGTAACATAACTAAAGCTTAATATCCCATTATAAATACTGCAGTTATGACCAGGAGTAGGTACTGCAGGCAGTGACATTTTTTATGAGTTAATCTGCATGCAAAAAGTTGACTCTGTGAGTTTCTGAATATTCATCTTATCCCATTCTGATCCATATCCTAAATTGTCTCCATTCTCAGTGGGAGAAATCTTCTTCCTAGCCACGTCATTTAAACAGTCAAGAGAATTTTATGTTATAGCTAGTCTATAGCAATAGAGAAAAGGTTCACAGAAGAGTGTATTCTAACAACAGCAATTAGAAATGCATTTGTACACAGGATGTGTAGTTTACTGCCATTTTTACTGTCTAGATCTCCTGTGCTCCCATCCCCCTTTTTGCTCGACCAGATTTATGCACACAGTGAGGGAGGCTTCTGATTTAAAGGTTTGACATTTAAATAAACAAAGCACAGAATAAAAATATTCTTATATTGTCAGCAAAATGATAGCTAAGGTACAAAGGGCCACATTGACTCCAAAAATAGATCCAGAAGAGCATGGAGATGTGTTGGTTCTCCAGAGGTCCATGCATTGGGCATGGGTCTGTCTAGGGGAGCCCTCAGCACAGAGTTGGGTTTTCTGGAGCTCTGTCACCCCACTGGAGATCACACTTGAGGACCTAGAACTGGGACCAGTGCTGGAAATTTACACCAAGACAATGACTTCTGGTTTTTAAAATGGGAAAGGAGAATTGACCTCAGCCTCCTGGGAGCAGCACCCTTTCCAAACATGTTGTAAAATAAAAGGTGATGCTGCTGTCTGTTCCCAGAGTTTGTGTATCAATAAGTCTGGGAAAATCAAGAAACTTCACCTTCCCTTTTGGAGCATGGACAGCCTCAGATTTACAATACTTGTCACACTCCACCTTGGCAGCTCAAGGGTTTGTTTTCTCCTGTTGCCTACTTAGTTCCTCTGCAGAGGCTGTCACCTTGTAGGAAGGATGTCTCCTTCTCCTCCTCAGCTTTCCTAGAACATTGTTGTACAGTGACCAAAATATTTTTGGTGTTCTGTGCTGTGAAAGGCCAGACTTCCCTTGGGCTCACACTTCCCCACAGGTCTGAGATTGGCTGATCAGTTTCCAACAAGTTCTAGAGGCTGGATTGCTCTGATGGAGGGAGGGGGACAAACTGGGGCGAGGGATTTGTGATTCTCCTCCACTGGAACAATTTTTTGTCAGTCTCTTTTGAGAAATGAGGTCCTTTTCTGGGATAAAAGTAAATGTTCAAGCTCAGCTGGCTCTTTTAGAAGAAAGGAGGCCCTCAAGGCTGATTTCCAGAATATAATTCAGGGACAAAACAAAACCTGTTTCTTAGTACCATGAAATTTGTTAGAACTCTTGCTCTACTCTCCCTTCTTTTATATAAAACAAATATTACCTGAAACACATAATTTACTTCTGCACAAGGCTTACCAATTTCTTTACCCTGCCTGGAGGGCATAGTTGAGGTTTGCTGACTGATGCTGCAGAGATACTAATGGGAGCTCAGTTTATAGATTTGTTCTATATGGCCCTGTAAAGATTTTACCCCCAGGGTTGTTTGAAATTCCCACCACTGGAGTGATGGCTTTTATTTCTAATCTCTATGCAATTTTGGGCCTAAGCATGTTTGACAGACACCTCTTTTTACATAATTGCAATGTGGCATGGTGACTTTTTGAAACATTGCTGGTGTTTAACTGCTAGGAATACACACTGCTGCTGTAGTGAAAAGAAAAAAAAACAGGAAAAAAATCCATTCTTCTGCCTCAGATTTACACTGCTGGTAAAGCTTTCCTTATTTGAGCAAAGATTGCAATTTCTGATTTATCAGCTTCTGTTGTCCTGTTGCTACCTGGGCCAGCTACCAAAAGGATCCAAATAGAACTGAGAAAACAGCATAGAACTGGAAAAAAAATTATGACCAAGCCTATGAATTTCAGAAGAATAACCCTGAAACACAGTACTTCAGTAAATATTTTTTGCTACCGTGATTTAAAATTAGGGATTGCTTAAATACTTTGACTCCTGAGGATCTTAAAATAGTAAAGCTGGCAGGAGAACTGTTCCACTTCAAATTTTCCAATGAAAAAGATTCTACTCAATTTAGAAATGTGGAGACTAATACGTCTTTAAACCCAGGATCATCTTTGAAGTCTGAAAAATCCACATTTTTCACTAATAGATCTGTTCTCTCCTGGCTGGCAAGCACATTTATCACCAAGTTAGACATTGTGGGAAATGAACAAGGAGCCAGGAAAAAGGGATCTGAAGGGATCTGTGCGTGAAGCTCTGTGGTTGTGCGCAGCAGGTGGAGGCAGTGGGAGGAGGTGCTGTTGTTCTCTCAAGGGGAAAGCTGCATTTTGGTCAGTGTGGTTCTCTCATCTTGCATCAAAGCTTTTAGTCCTGTTGGTGAACAGGGGAGCAGCAGTTTGCTCTGACTGTCTGGCACATCTCAATCCACTGGTCCTGTAAATGTGGAACAGTCCCAAGAAGTCTGTGGGATGATTGCGATAGGAAGCAATTTGCATATTGATGGGTTTGGAATAAAAAACAGCCAAACTTCTGCAGACTCATTTTCTCCACTTTCTCTACACTGAGGTTAGGCTTGGACTCCCCTTGGGCAACAACTTAAGATATTTTCCCTGATTTGGGAACAGAAGAAGAAGAAGAAGAAGAAGAAGAAGAAGAGTCTTCAGTAAAAGTTTATAACCTCTCAGTGGGGTGTAAAAGTACAGGCAGAATTACAACAGAAGGAAAAAGAGAGGATCTCAGGAGTCTGAAGAAGTGTGAGAACTGGGAATCCCAGCAAACTAGTGAGACATTGTAAAGATGACAAATGTAAGGAAACTCATATTATCACAGCTTAGGAAGGAATTTGAGGTCCAGGTAAGAGAGAGAGATGAGAATCTGTTTGATGCAGAGGAGAATATCACTGAATATGGTTCTCAGGAGATACATATCAGGGTTTCCATATTTTGTGGCCAATTCAGACAGAATTAGTCGTAGGACTAGGACCCTACAAATTGAATAACACATTCAGGGAATTGTGGTTACCTGAAAAACTTTGCAGAAGTGCCAAAGAAACAAAAAGTTTGATTCTGCATGGATCTGTGGGTGCCCTAAGAGTAGCTACCAAAGACAGAGAAATTGTCAAA